CCCAGAACGCGCCGCAGAGATTGCAAGAGCTCGCTGTTTGCGGCTTCGCGCTGGCTGACAGTAACATTCACGCACTCTCCTCTCCTCTCCTCTCTTCTCTCTCCTCTCCTCTCCTCTCCTCTCTCTCTCTCCTCTCCTCTCTCTCCTCTCTCCTCTCCTCTCTCCTCTCCTCTCCTCTCCTCTCTCTCTCTCTCCTCTCTCCGTATGACTTCCTCTCCCCCTCTCTCTCCCTGCCGTGGTCTCCGTGTCCCTCCATCCTGCCTCGACGGCGCCGGAGCCCGACGGGCGCAGCCCCGCAGTCCCGTTCCCCTGGGGGCTGCGCGGGGGGTGGGCCGCGCGTCCTCCCCCCGTGAGAGGCGGCGGGGTCGGGAGGCGGCTGCCCCCGCGCGTCGCGGCGGTGGCCCCGGCGACGCGCTGCTTGAGCGAGGAGCTTCGACGCCGGGCCCCAGGGCAGCGGCGTGGTGCCGAGGTCGGCGCGGGCGGCACGGATGCCGTCGGCAGGGGAGGGCCAGGGCCGAAGGGGAGGCGCTCGAGACTGGAGCGGCCCGGGGGTGAAGCGAGGGTGGCGGCCTGGGAGAGGAGGGGGGCGGGCGAGAGAGGAGAGCAGTGCGCATCGGCAGAGGAGAGGAGCAGGGAGAGGAGAAGGAGCAGGGAGGAGGGAGGGGGAAACGGGCCATCCACGCAATGCCCAGGATCTGTCATACGAAACCGCGAACTTCAAAACCCCATGCCCCTTGCAAGCAACACCCCATAGTACTGACAGTGGACGCACACAATGTTGTCCCAGGGTGATCGGGGGAAAGTCGGACCCCTCCTAGGGCGAGCTACGATGCATCTCCGCCTTCACGCGCGCTGCAATGAACAAGCAAAACCGTCGATTGAAACATAAAGTGGACATGAATCTGCTGACCCCGAGTGGGAGTCTAAGGGCACGCCGCTGTCATGCGCAGTGCAAGCTCGTACCAGAACGTACGGGTACGCATCCTGAAATGACTTCTGGTCGTTGTGCTGGGGGCAAGGGTTGAAGCTTTTCACCCAAGCTATGCCCTGCAAGCGGATAGTGCGTCGCTCCGCTCCGCGGGGCGGGAGGCTGGAAACAGCTCGTGCCGCTGACGCTCGGCCACGGACACGCGGATAGCGCGTCGCGCCGAAGCGTGGTGGGCCAGAACCGGCGGCGCGACACGACGATCCAGAGTCCCTGGCCGCAGGTGGCAAGACGGAGGCGAGTCGACCACCCCCGTGCCATGGACTGCCGCTTGTGCCCGTGGCGCCACCGGGGGCGGCGCCATCGATTGTTTAAGCGGGGGGGGAGGGGGAGGAGGAGGAGGAGGAGGAGGAGGAGGAGGAGGAGGAGGAGGAGGAGGAGGAGGAGGAGGACCACGAGGAGGAGGAGGAGAAGGACGAGGACGAGGACGAGGAGGAGGAGGAGGAGGAGGAGGAGGAGGAGGACGATTCTGCTTTGGCCCTGCGCTGCCCGACCTGCGCCCTGCGCGTGCGCCGGGTCCGCGACCCAGCGCGTGTGCACGGCGCCTCGCGCGGAAGCGCGAGATGCCGCCGCAGGCAGTCCTGAAGCCAGTGGGCCGCGCTTGCCCCCCCGCGTCAGTGCCTGCGAGGCGGCTGCGCACTGCAGTCTCTGTGCCCCGAGAGGCAGCGGTCGTCGTCGTCGTCGTCGCCACCACCACCACCGCCGCCACCACCATCATCGTCAGCCTCAGCCTCGGCCTCAGCCGCATCCCCACTCACATCCGCATCCTCCTCCCCCCCCTCCTCCTCCTCCTCCTCCTCCTCTTCCTCCTCCTCCTCCTCCTCCTCCTCTTCTACCTCCTGCTCCTCCTCCAGGTCCGGACCTCCGCCCTGCCCTCGGCCTCCCCTCAGATCCGACGATGCGAAAAAAATACACCATCGCGAAAACATCGCGACTGGAGCCCCAGACCTCCCGCTTCTGCAGCATGTTTCTGGATGGATCGACCTGTGATGGCCCTGGGGTCCGAAGCAGGACGAAAACGCCCGGTGCGAAACAAAAAGGACCGCCCAGATCTTTGTGCCCCCCGCCTCCCCCTTCTTCCTCCTCCTCCTCCTCCTCCTCCTCCTCCTCCTCCTCCTCCTCCTCCTCAGCCTCGCACCTAGACATGCGATGTCTTGATCGGTTCAGCACGCGGCCCCCGGAAGTCCCGACCCCATGGCCGGTTCTTCCTCCCGAACGGTTTGTTGCCGGTTCGAAGGCGCAGCGAGGGCCCCTGGGGGCCGAAAACTATCAGAACCCCTCCCGTTGCGTTTTTTTTTGTTCTCGACGCCCAGCGAGGGCCCCTGCAGGCCAAACACGGCCCAAAAACCTCCCGTCGTGCTTTTTTGTCACGGCGCGAGCGTGTCTGGGCAGGCCGGGCGGCAACGACGGCGCGGCGGCGGCTGCACGCCCGGGCGCCACCCGAGGCGGCGGCGTGGTCCACGGTGTGGAGCAGGTCCTCGGGGGGACGAGGAGGTACCGTCGGGCTGCTGGAACAAGCAGCGCCCAGCGCGACACCTCCGAAAGGTCAGATTTGCAAAGGGTGTGGTTTGCAACTGGCACCCTGGGGGGGCACCCTGGGAGGTGGGCGAGGACATCGACAGGGCTCTCCGCCGCGCCCCGAGGAGGCCCGACGAGGACAGCGTCGTGCCCCCCAGGCCCCAACGGCGCCGATCGCAAACCACACCCCGGCGCAACCTCATCCTTTGTAGTCGCCGGTAAATCCGCCACCGTGCCTGCGCGGAGTGGGCGTGTTAGAATGCTCCAGTGGTCCCTCTGGGAATGTTGTTTAATTTTCTGTGGGGCTGATCCACCCCCCTCGGTTAGCACGCGCTCGCGTAGACCGCCCCCTGAAATCGCTCCCTGGCGCTCTTTTTGCCAAGATGGCCTCCAAGACGGCTTCCAAAACAACCAAGAAGACACCGAAATGGCCCAAGATGGCCCAAGACCGCTCAAGAGGCTCTCAAGACGGCCTCAGACGGCCGAAGAGGTCCCAAAGAAGGCCCAAGATGGGTTCAAGAGGCCCTCGAGGAGAGCCCGAAGAGGCCCAAACCACAGATGTGCCTAAGGTTTTTGAAGGATTTTGAAGTTATCGCCTGTTTGGGGTTCCGATCGCCCAAGACGGCCCAAGAGGCCTCCAGGATAGCTACAAGGCAGCCCAAGAAGCTTCTCAAGAGGGCTCCAAATCCACCCACGAGGACCCCAAGATCGCCCAAGAGGCTATCAAGAGGGCCCCAAGGCGGCCCTGAAGCGCTCCGAGAGTGTACCAACTGCCCAGGGCCCAGAGAAGCCCTCAGAGACGGCCTCCGAAGGAGTCAGACAGGTCAAGAGCTTCATGACGGCCCAAGAGGCCCCCAAGAGGCCTGGGGAGGCCCCAAAGAGGCCTCCAGGAAAGCCCGAGGAAACGTACACATTGATTTTCTGTCAGGTGTTGGTGCATTTTGAGGTTCTCGCCAGTTGGGGTTTCCGACCGCTCAAGACGGTCCAAAAGGCCTCCAAGACACCTCCAAAATAGCCTGCGGCCTTCAAGAGGGCCCCAAGTCGGCCCAAGAGGACCCCGAGATCGCCCAGGAGGCTCCCGATAGGGCCCCAAGACGGCCCCACGTACTCGAAAAGGGCTCCAAGACGGCCCAGGGAGGCCCCTCCTCCGAGGGCGACGGACGGGCCAAGAGCTCCAAGACGGACTAGGAGGCCCCAAAAGGCCCCAGGAATCCCCCAAGAAGGGAGGAGGAGGAGGAGGAGGAGGAGGAGGAGGAGGAGGAAGAAGCCAAGAGGCCCCAGTCATCCAAGGGTGCTCTCAGAAGCCCTCTAGGAGAGCCCTGACCATCGATGTCCTGTTGGGCTCTGGAAGAGGTGGAGGTCCTCGCTTGCTTGGGTTCCTGGCCGCCCAAGACGGCCCAAGAGGACCCCAACACAGCTCCAAGACAGCCCAAGGGGTCCCCAACAGGGCCCCGAGTCGGCCCGAAAGGGCCCAAAGATCGCTCACGAGGCTTCCAAGAGGGCCCCAGGGCAGCCCCGAAGCGCTCCGGCAGAACGGCCCAGCGAAGCCTCCAAGCGGACCATCGAAAGCGCCGGACGAGCCAAGAGCTCCACAAGGCGGCCCACGAGGCCCCAAAGAGGTCCACAGGAAGCTCACACGAAGCACCCAGGAGGCCAAAAGAAAGGGGCCCATGAGTCCTTTTCCTCCTCTTCACATGGTCCATCTCCTCCTCCGCCTCCGCCTCCTCCTCCTCCTCCTCCTCGTCCTCCTCCCCTTCCTCCCCTCTTCTTCCTCCACACAGCGCGCATGAAGACGAGATCGAGACCGCTACATTCCCAATTCAGACCACTCGCTGGACTGCCGCGCCGACCAAGACAAGGTCGAGTTCACGGCCCGTCCAGTTTCAGACCGGTCGTCGGACTTGCGTTGCTCCTACACTTGATCTCTTTTGCTGCGTCGTTGCACAGTCACGGTGGCGGGGTTTGCCGCAGGCAGCTGGATAAGGAACGAAGCTCCTTTTTGGCCCCACAAGCGCCTGCGTGGACGAGGAATGCTAGAGGAACAGCCATGGAAAGACCTAAGGAACATCGAACCCCTTCCGAGCCCAGACTGTTTCTTATTTCGGCGTTTTGGCCGTACCGCTGCCGCTTCTCTCTGGACCTTCTCTGGGGGCGCGCTCTGACCAACATCTCGTGGAGAAGCCGGCCATGGCGACGGCTCGGACACCCGGCGTCTCGAAAAAACCGAGACGGCAATGATTCATTGCTTTCGGCCTCTCGGGGCCCTTCTTGGGCCTCGGGGGTTTGAAAAACTGGTCCTGGGGAATGAGTCGAGACCTCTGCAGAGAGTCGGGTAAAGTTGTTGCGATTTTCCTGACTGGGAGCGTGACTGAATCCACGCATGACCAAGGTCTGAACCTCAGGACGGTATGACGTTGCGAGCGCGCCCACGCACGGTCAGAAGTTCTCACGGGCGAGTTGCGTCGGCGACGGCGACGGCGACGGCAACGGCGGCGGCGGCGAGGGCGACGACGACGAAGACGACAGCGGCAACGGCGAGGCCCAGGGCTCAGAACGCGCGAGCCCAGAGGCGCAGCGAAGTGAAATTCTAGCAGGAGCGCCTCGGTAAAATCCGCCGGCTCCGTTGTGGGGCCATCAGGCTGTAGGCCGAAGGTTCGCAGTTTCCTGTACCAGTTGCAGCTTCCAGTTTCCACTGTTACAGTTCTGCTTCTTGCTGCTTACTGTTCCTTGTTGATGGACCGCGAGAGGGGGGAGGCCCAAAACGGAAATTTTTACCACGCCCTGAGCGTATGCTCTGAATTGCTGGAGTGGGTAAAAATTGGCACCCCACACGCAGATCGGCGGGGTCAGGGTCCAAAAACACAAGGGATTTGCCACATTTCTGAAATTCGCTGGCACCCCTCACGCAGATCGGCGGGGTCAGGGTCCAAAAACACATACGATTTGCAACATTTCTGAAAATCGCTGGCACCCCTCACGCAGATCGGCGGGGTCAGGATGCAAAAACACAAAGGATTTGCCACATTTCTGAAATTCGCTGGCACCCCTCACGCAGATCGGCGGGGTCAGGGTCCAACAACAAAAGGGATTTGCCACATTTTTGAAATTCGGCGGCACCCCTCACGCAGATCGGCAGGGTCAGGGTCCAAAAACATAAGGGATTTGCCACATTTCTGAAATTCGGCGGCACCCCTCACGCAGATCCGTAGGGTCGGGTCTCAAAACGAATGAGATTTGCCACATTTCTGAAATTCGCTGGCACCCCTCACGCAGATCGGCGGGGTCAGGGTCCAAAAACAAGAAGGATTTGCCACATGTTTGAAATTCGGCGGCACCCCTCACGCAGATCGGCAGGGTCAGGGTCCAAAAACATAAGGGATTTGCCACATTTCTGAAATTCGGCGGCACCCCTCACGCAGATCCGTAGGGTCGGGTCTCAAAACGAATGAGATTTGCCACATTTCTGAAATTCGCTGGCACCCCTCACGCAGATCGGCGGGGTCAGGGTCCAAAAACAAAAGGGATTTGCCACATTTCTGGAATTCGGCGGCACCCCTCACGCAGATCGGCAGGGTCAGGGCCCAAAAACATGAGGGATTTGCCACATTCCTGAAATCCGGCGGCACCCCTCACGCAGATCCGTAGGGCCAGGGTCCAAAAATAAACAGGTCCCGACGCTGCTTCACGGCGGCGCCCAGACCTCATGATTTAGCTTTTTTGGACGCCCGAAATGGGCACCGAAAAATGGGTACAATGCCCAACAGCAAATGTTGTCCCAAACCGACAGCGGCCGCTGTTGGGCAGGCGGCCTCCTGTCTCGAATGGGCACAGGCCGCAGCGGCGTGGACAGCGAGTCCTGTTCAGAATGAACAAGAGCTGCTGTTGGGCATCGTACCCATTCTTTCAGTACCTATTTCGGGCGTGCAGAGCTTTTGCATCTACCATTATCCGAGACAGTGGGCCGGCGGCATGGGGGGAAGCCCCTACGGATTCTGGGGGGCGCCTTCCCCCCCGTCGCGCCTGCTCCGTGCCCCATGCGCAACTCGTCCTCGGAGACCTCCGCTGCCCTGGTTCAAAATGATACCAGGCTGCAGCGGTCCGACAGGATCTGGTCCAAACACATTTTCTTGTTCACCACTCCGATCCGTCCAAAACCATTGGGTTCGCATGGGGTCCGTTTCCCCCAAAATATGGAAAAATATGGGAAGTGGGGGGGGAAGACAGACATCCAGAAAATACAAGAAAATATGGGGAATCCTTTTATCTGTGTGTATTTCTTTGTGCGTCCCAGGGCCCCTTCACTCAAAAATGATACCAGGCTGCAGTGGTCCGACGGGATCTGGTCCAAAACCACTGGGTTCGCATAGGGTCCGTCCCACAGACATCGGATCCGCACAGGGATCCGTAGCAGATCCGCCCTCCTCCTCCTCCTCCTCCTCCTCCTCCTCCTCCTCCTTCTCCGAGGTTGACACCCCCGAACGGGGACCCCCTTCGATGCCTTCGGGAGGCCCTGCGCTCGCATTCGGGCGCAAGATGCTGCGCCCATCGCCCGCGACCTGCCGCCCAACCCCCTGTCTCCAACGGGCCATGGACTGGCTGGACTGACAAGCCGCTTCGTGCGATGTGCGTCTTCGGGCCGAAGTCTCAGATCGTGCCAACTTACCTGACTGTCTGTGGGGGCGACGTCATGGACAAAACCAGGACGTCGTGGGTCTGGGACCAGCATCTCGTGGAGAATCGGGCCACGGCGCGGGGGATCTCCAGGACGAGCAGCGGTACTGGCACCAACTCCTCGCCTCGCTTGACCCCGAGAGCCAACGTTGCCAAACAAACACCTCGCGGAAAATCGCGACTGGAGCCCCAGACCCACCCCGCCTTCCTGCAGCATGTTTCGAGCCGGGATCCATCTGCGATGGTCGCGGGACCCGAAAGCGGACGAAAATCGCCCGACTCGAAACGATTGACGCTCCAATGGCTCAGGGGAGGCCCGCGCCCAGCCGCGCCAGCAGCGCCGCTGCTGCACACCAAACCCTCCTGGGGCGCTCTGACCAGCACCTCGTGGAGAATCCGGGCACGGCGACGGGAGATCTCTGGGGCGAGTAGCGGTAGCGTAAGGGGGGGGGACTGGCACAGTGGGAGATGCATCGACCTGGAATCGGCGACACGTCGCCGATAGATCGGCGCCAGGCCCCCGACAGCGAATCCGCACCTCCCTGGGCAAGTTGGGGGCGTGGGGCCCCCGTCGGCGATCCGTTGGCGCTTGGGGACCGACGCCTCCCCCCCCCCTGTGTGCCCGTCCCCCCCCCCTGTCGCTGCCCCTGCAGCATCTCCTCCGCGCCCGACCCTCGCGGGAGGTCCGCGCCCAGCCGCGCCAGCAGCACCGCCATGTCCGCGCGCCGGTGCAGCACGGCCAGCTCCAGCGGGCGCAGCCGCTGCCAGGCCCACACCGGGCGCGGCGCGGCCGCGCTGCAGGGCGGCGGCGCCGCCGCGGCGTCACCGCCGGAGGCCTCACGGTGGGCTCTGCTCCGCCGCGTCGCTGCCGCGGTCGCTGGGGGAGGGGCCCCAAACTCCTCCTCCTCCTCCTCCTCCTCCTCCTCCTCCTCCACCACCACCATCAATTTCATCATCAGAAGCAGCAACAGCAGCAGCAGCAGCCATCAGCATCAGCATCAGCATCAGCATCATCATCATCATCATCATCATCATCATCATCATCATCATCATCATCATCATCATCATCATCATCATCACCATCATCATCACCATCATCATCATCGCCATCATTATCATCATCAGCATCATCATAATCATCATCATCATCATCATCATCATCATCATCAGCACCAACACCACCACCACCATCATCACCAGCATCACCAGCATCAGCATCATCATCATCGTCATCATCAGCATCAGCATCAGTATCAGCATCATCAGCATCCTCGTCATCATCAGCATCAGCATCAGCATCAGCATCAGCATCATCATCATCGTCATCATCATCACCATCAGCATCATCATCATAATCATCATAATCATCATCATCATCATCATCATCATCATCATCATCATCATCATCATCATCATCATCATCATCATCATCATCATCATCATCATCATCATCTCCTACTCTCCTCCTCCTCCTCCTTCTCCTCCTCCTCCTCCTCTTCCTCCTCTTCCTCCTCTCGTCACCAAGAGATGACGACGGGAACAATTCCTGTTTTTGACACTTTCCCAAAACAGTGCTTGCAACCCGGGGATCTTATTTCTTGTTCTAAGGAACTGGGCCTGCAGGCCAATTTGGCGGCTCCCTGCCTGCCGTCGCCGCCCCGTCGCCGTCTCCCCGCCTCGCCCGTCGTCTGGGCCTGCGGGCCGGCCTGGCGGCTTCGTGCTCGCCGTCGCCGCCTCGTCGCCGCCCCGTCACCGCCTCGCATAGATCGCACCGCACAGTTTTCACAGCATAGAAGACACCACATGGATTGCACCACATATATTGCACAACATAGATCGTAGCACATGGGTAGCAGCACACAGATTGCGCAACATCGATCGCACCACATAGATTGCACCACGTAGCTTGCACCGCATAGACTACACCACAGCAATTGCACCAAATAGATTGCTCCACCTAGATCGCCCATCAAATATTGCACCACGTAGATTGCACAACATAGATCGCACGACATATTTTGCACAGCATAGATGGCACAACATACGTAGGTCTCACCACATAAGATGTAAAACACATACTGCACCGCATATAGTGCACCACGTAGGTCGCACCACATATATTGCCCCCGCATATATTGCGCAACATAGATCTCTAGAAGCACACTGTTTGGGGTCCACGCTGTCTAACACTGTTTGCAAATCTCGGCCTCGGGCTCATCGTCATCAGCAACAATAGCAACATCACCCATCACCATCACCATCACCTGTCACCAATGGCCCATCGCTCGTCACCCACCCACCCATCACACACCACCAAACATCATCACACATCACCATCACCATCACCATCATCTCAAACACCCATCGCCATCACCATCACCATCACCGTCACCATCACCATGATCACCATCACCTATCACCATCACGTTCACCATCACGATCATCACAATCACCCGTCAGTATAGCCCATCACCCATCACCCATAATCATTATCATCAGCATCATCATCACCACTAACCCTGCACCATCCATCATCATTATCATCATCATCATCCTCATCCGCATCCTCATCATACTCAATAAAACCATCATCAACATCACAACAATTATCAACACCATCACCATCAATCCTGCGGCTCCGCGCGTGAGGCTAGGCTTCTGCAATGACGGCGTGACGACGACGACGACGACCACGACGGCGACAGAGACGTTCCCCCCTCCACCTCGGATCAGACCAGGGAGCATGAGGAAGAGGAGGGGGAGAGAGGGAGGAGGCAGGAGGAGGAGGAGGACAATGAGGACAAGGAGTGAGGAGAAGGAAGATGGAGGGATGGAGTGGGGCAGAAGAGGGAGGAGCGGGGTAGGGGCCCTTGCCGACAAGGAAGGGACGGGCAGGCAGGGGTAGGACAAGACAGTCAGACCTGCGAGACAAGACGAAAACAAAAAGCAGAAGAGAGAGAGAGCATCGTCGAAACGGCACTGCGGAACCGATGGAACAAGATTGCCCTTGAACCTGCAGCAGCAGGCCGTCAAGCAGAAAGGGGTCCCTGCTCGTATCATGAGGTCATGTGTTGAAACACATCCCACTACGGCGTCTCAGGAGTGGTCCAAGAGTCGGGGTTCTGCTGGGGCTGTCTGGGCTACGCTCGAGAGGCTCGGACGGATCTGCAGGGCTCGGGATGTGTGGAGGGCGTGCGCTGACATATCTCTGGATCTGAATGAAGATGGGAAGCGGGCGCTGACGATGTAAAGAGATATGGCCACCCAAACGGGGTTACTCGAACATGTTGGGGCTCCTGATCCTGATGTCTCTGGGAGGGTGGCCCCGCAAGGTTCTGGCACCGGTGGTGAAGATAATCGAGGCTCCGAGGGAGGGCGACGGGAACTCAACAGCGATTCTCCCATGTGAGGTTGTTGAACATCGAGGGCGTGCTGTTTGTGACGGGCAAGTCGTCTCGCCAGTGTGCTTGGTGTGCAGCTACAGTGATCGTGCTACCATGAGGAAAGCTGGATGAGAAACGAAGAGGATTCTCTTGCCACGGCGAGCCTCGGTCACGAATGGGTTCCCGACCTCGGCGAAAAGCCTGCAAGCGAAAACCCCTCCTGAGCCCCAAATGGTCCCTGTACGAGGCAGGCACGCCGAAGCACATATTCTTTGCTACTCTTTGGCTGCATCGGGACTCACTAGTTTGCGCAGGGAGCTCGACATGCAGCAGCAGGTCGCAAAGGACCTCCTTCATCCCGACTGTAATTTTCCCACCACTCGCGCTTCTATGGCCGACCTGGGTGTGACTGCCCGCCTCTTTCTCCCGAGCGAGGTTGGGCATGGAGAAAAAACGCCAGAGCTCCAGAGCCCTATGCCCCCATCTGTGTGCATCGACGGCTCTGGGCTCACGCGGGCGCGGGGAGTCTGTACTGCGAGGGAACCGGACAGCCGGCCGTGGGGGCCGTGGACCCGTCTTGCAGCATGCCTCCTCCTCCTCCTCCTCCTCCTCCTCCTCCTCCTCCTCCTCCTCCTCCTCCTCCTCCTCCCCCCCTCCTCCTCCTCCTCCTCCTCCTCCTCCTCCTCCTCCTACCTGCGCTTATGGACCCCTTTCCTCATCCTGCTCAGGCCAGTGCTGGAGAGCTCCATGCGCCTTTTGATGTGCATATCGTAGACTATTGGTCGGTGTTGGGCCCATGGCAGTGATCTGCTCGGACTGTCAGGCCGTCCTGCACGTTCGGACCCGAGGACCCGACCAACAGTTGAGAAGTTGTGTGTGCTGAGCTCTGGCTGCAGGTTTGGGCCCGAGTAGATGACATAGGTTATGATCTGCTACCCCTGCGGAAGGTCGAGGGCCACATCACCTGGTATGAGTGTTTGGCGACGACTGGGGCCCCCACTGGGCCTGGCTGAGAGAGGGGCCCAGATGCATGCGTCGAACCTCCACCTCACGGGCCTCGAGAAAGCGAGGGCGCCCGAGGCTCGGGGTTTCAATCTGTTCATTGCCCGTCTCGGAGAAGTGCTCAGCAAGAGGTGCCTTCCGATGTGATAAAAAAGTCCTAGGGGAGTTGCGTCGACCCCCGATCGCCCATTTGGCGCCGAGGAGGGGAAGGAGGAGGAGGGGGAGGAGGACGAGGAGGAGGAGGAGGAGGAGGAGGAGGAGGAGGAGGGTGGGAGGAGGAGGAGGAGGAGGAGGAGGAGGAGGCCAAGCACGGCCCTCTGCAGCCGGCTTGCGAGCGCAACGGGACCGCGGCGCAGTGGACTGGTGCCGCAGGGCGGGGGGGGGGCACAAGGGCGTCCGAGAGGGCGCCTCTGGCTTCCCAGGGTATGCAGTCTGCTCCCTCCCGTGCACTGGCCTACCAAGACTGGTCAGGATGGCACACTCCATCCACCGGCTCTGGAGTATGGGGCGGAAGCATCTGTGCGGATGTGGCTGTATAGATTGTGTTGAAGTTGGGGCATCTCGGTCACGCTTACCCGTGGAGCTTGTCCCATGGGGCGTTCGACTAAACACGCCGAAAGGAAAGCAGCTGCGAGAGGAAAAGACCCCTTCTCTGGGGCCAGCCTGGGGAGGAGATCGCCTCTTCCCTTTCAGCCGAGGCCGCCGAGAGCTGGCGGTCGCCAGCCCTCACTCGGCCGTGGCCGATATTTTCGTTGCTTCGCGTTCGCTTGCCCGTTCGCCCGCTACCTCGGTATTTCGTCGGGAGGGGCTTGGCCGCCTAAGGAAAGCCTGGAATCTCAGAGAGGGTCGGGGGAGAAGGGAGGGAAGAGGAAACAACACGAAGGATAAGGATGAGGAGAAGGAGGAGAATGCTTGATCAGCAACCCCATGGGGCCTGAACG